CTCCCCATTTTATCCTCCCAACAACCTTGCGAGGTGGGTTAGTCTGAGGCACAGGAACTGGCCCCTTAGTGACCTTTATGGCTGCATGGGGGATTTTGAACCCTGGTCCACCCAGGTCCTAATCCAGCAACCTGACCACCACGTCACACCTGCTCTCGTTGTTATGTACTGAAGTTCTCACCCTGGGCCAGCAGGGGGATACTGTAGATAGTTTTCACTCAGGTCCGCATATGCAAATAAGGAATTGAAAGTGATGTTCAGTGATTGGATAGTTACAGAAAGTTGTTACTGTTGCTTTGTAGTTGAGCTCTATATAAGCAGGCTGGCTGAACCCTTCAGTTCAGTTCTGTTCTGGCCTGTGAGTAAACAAGAGCTGTTTGAAGAATCGCTGTGTCACCTGATATGTTCACCCACGACTTAACACTCATAATAAATTAAACCTTCGAGTTTGATGCCCTCCAGGGGGCCATAATTGAGAAACGTCACTACGTATTTCGGCCTCTACAGAGTGCCCATCTTGTCTCCTGCCCAGGACTAACTAGCACCCATCTTTGACATTCTGTAGGTGCCAAGCTGGACGATTTTGCTGATTTCACTTCATTTGGGCTGGCCACCGCCCTTCTCTTGCAAGCCCACGGAATCCTTGACGGCCTTCTGGTGATCGTGTACGTCTTGGCTGTGTTCACGCGCCTGTGTTTCTTCTCTAGCGGTGAGTCCACAGCTGTGGCGATAACACAGCCCCGTTAAGTTTGGCTGCAGGGGTCATATTCGCTAGTTTCACATATTCAAGTAGTTTAAATTGCCACTCCTCTTTTGATGGGATTTTATATTCTTTTACCCCCTTGGCAATCAGCATCCTCGCTGCTGTTGCGTACAAATATATATATATTCATTTTCTCTCTAGGAATGTCTGGTGCCATAATACCTAAGATGAAGGCTTTGGGCTTTTTCATAAACTTCATTTGAAACAGTTTTTTTAATTCATTATATATAAGTTCCCAAAAGCTCTCTATTTTTTTGCAACCCCACCACATGTGGTACATTGTTCCCTCTTAACTCTCTACACCTCCAGCATAAATTTGAGTTGGTTTTGTACATTTTGGCCAATTTGCTAGGAGTGATCTACCATCCGAATAGCATCTTCACAAAGTTTTCTTTTACAGTAAAACAAGCCGTAAATTTGTTCCCTTCTCCATAAATTTTCCCATTCCGCCATCTGTATGTTATATCCAGGGTTTGATGAGGCTCTAAGCTACTGAAGGTAATGGGACTCCAGCTGTCCTTTGTCAACACCAAATTTTCACTGTTTTTGTGTTGAATATATGCTATATGGTAATTTATGGACCTAATAGGTATCTAAAGCCATTTTATTTGGTTTTTATCTTATATTTTGGATATGTACATCCATTTTTTCCCTTTAATTTTTTGGGGGGCTCCCAAGAGAGTGGGGCCCTAAGCTATAATTTGTTAAGCTTATATGTAAATCCGGCACTGGTTATATCCAAAGTCCTTTGCCCACTGCACCATAACCGATTTTACTTCTTCTTCTTTTATTTCCCGTCTAACAATAATAGCCTGTACATTCTGGAAAGTAATTTGTCTTTATTTTTTAATAGACGTTTCTCTTAATTCTGATAGTTCCATAACAAAACCAATTTTTTTAATCTACCTTAAAGATGTCGTTCAATTGGTGGTATTGTAACCAATCCTGATTTTTGTCCTCTGCACATTAGTTTTGCATGTTTCTGCTTTGGCGCATCCACACGAACAGTTCGCTCCGAGTCAGCTCACCACCTCCCTTTCCTCTCGTCTCCCTAGGGATGCCGTTCATGTACCGGGGGCTGCCCTGCCCGTATGGAGCATCTGTCCTGGCCGCCACCTACCTCCTGACAGGAGGCAACCTGCTGGTGATGCGTATCATCGCCATGGTGATGATCCTCTTCATGGTGGACCAGGGCTTCTACCCTCACGACAAGGTGCTGGAGTCTCAGCCCTGGAAGAAGGCAGTCTTCGCAGGAGGTGAGTGCAGAGCAGCGGGCCCCTTCACCTCAAATAATGAGGATACCCCCATGCTGTAATCTCTCTCTCTCGCTATCCAGCTGTCTAAAGATAATAAACCTTTCTAAGATGGGTTCGTGCAGAAACGTTGTCATCAGGTCACAGCAAAATGTTACCTTGGTTCCTGCATTGCAGGGGTTTGGGCTGGATGACTCTGCAATTCTGCAATTCCATGATTCAGTTCAGCCTGAAAAGTATGGAGAACCTGCAATCCTTATACAGTCAAACCTCAGTTGTCGAATGAAATCCGTTCCGGAAGCCCCTTTGGCTTCCAAAATGTTTGACAACCAAGGCGTGACTTCCAATTGGTCACAAGAGCTTCCCGCACTCAAACGGAAGCCGTGTCAGATGTTCGGCTTCCGAAAAACATTCAAAAACCAGATCATTTACTTCTGGGTTTTTGAGGCGAAACGATTCAAAACGGAGCTGTTCAGGAACGGAGGTTTGACTGTAGAAATGATTTTTCCCTGCTTCTAGATTAACTTGCATGCTGATAGCCTGGAAAGCCTTTGGCCAACGATCGTGGACAAATTGGTGTTTCTTTGGTTATTTTAAATCATGTATGGCTTCAATCTACATGCTTATTGTCGAAAGTCCTGGTGGGGAACCGTTGGCGGCAAATAGTCTAAAAAAAAACTGTATCAGAATAAATGAAATTTTAAAACCAAACATGCATTTTTCGTTTTTGCGGAAACAGAATTTCACGCTGAAAATCTTTTCTTGCTTGGGGTTAGGCTAGATGAGCCCTGGAAGTCCCTTCCAACTTTACAATTCTGAAATCTCTCTCTCTCTCTGGCATTGCAGGGATCTTGATGGTGATGTTCTCTGCCACCTACTTCGCCTCGCTCTACTACCTCCTTTGGTCCTCATCGTATATCTTCTTCCCAACTGCTCTGTGGAGCCACAGAATCTAACCTTGCTTGCGTGGTGTCATGCGTGGACGGACAGCGGCTTTTGCACCTCGCTGTGGGGCAATTGCCCAGTGGGGCCACCCCCTCCAGGACCCTAAATGCCTACCCAGCGTTAATATCCACACATCGCTTAAAACCTTCCTAGAAACATTTCCACTGTCCTGACTAGGAACAGAACAACTGCGAGGTCTCTGCCGTGGGGGTGGGATTTCTGCCCTGCGAAGGCTGGGCGTCTGGGGAACACAGTGAGAGATCTGGCTAACACTCCCAAGCCCCACTTTTGGTGTACATACGAATATACAGAGTCTTTACATATGTATATAGAAAAAGATTTACAATGAGTTCAGCTTTTTTAGATTTCTATTTTTTTAGTCCACAATTTTACTCGCTGGTGGTTTTTAAAAGAACTTGGCCTCCAAATCTCGTCACCAGCTAACTTTTTCGACTAATCCAAGGATAGGTCCCTGCAGCCTCGCCAGAAAGTCTTATTTAAAGAGAGCATCTGGATTTTCAACGTACAAACTAGCTGGATTTGAAACCTTAAAAGTTGAGAGGGCTGGTGAAACACAGCAGGATCGCTGCTTGTGGGGTGAAAGCTGGCCCATGGGGAAAGGGGTGGTGATACATCTCTTTACCTCCTGAAAGGCTTGGTGGTCAAAAATAAATTGAACCCATCAAATTACCTGTATGGATCCTAGATTTGCCTTTCTAAGATTGGGTGTATCAAATATTTCTGCCAGGGAGCACCGTCATTGTTTTTGTTTTATTGATTATATTACTGAAATATTTGGAAAACTTATTTCCTGCCCCCATCCCCCAGGGGATAATAATGGAAAGGGAGATGATTTGTGTTACTGGAAATGTACATTTGAAACAAGTTCTTTTGTTTTGGCATTTTTTTTAAAAAATAAACTTTTAAAAACACAGTTTTTGCTATCTGGCATTGTGTGAAAAGGGGTTTCTTTTGCGGTGGGGTAATGCTGCAAGGGGAATGGAAGGTTTGGGGTGGGGAGAGAGTAGTCTCCCAGAGAAGAGGCACCAGTTACATCAAGTGGGAAAAATGAAACTAGCTTGCTTCTGGAACCAATGATGATGATGATAATTATTCTGGGTGGCTCCCAACAGAATATTAAAAAGACGATAAAAGATCAAACATTAAAAACTTTACCTAAACAGGGCTGCTTTCAGATGTGTTCTAAAAGCCTCGCTACCACGGGACATGATATGCGATTTGACCTCTCCGCTCCCAGGCAGCCTCCTTTATTGCTAGCGTCCCTTATCTCGCTCCCAATCGCTTGCCGATCAGCGGCTTTGTTTCAACACCCACTTCCCTCTCCCCCCCCCCAAAAAAGAGCACAATCTGCTTTTCGCCCCCGCAATTCGGCTCCAGGGACCACGCATTCGCTCCATAAGATGCACAGACATTTCCCCATTACTTTTTAGGAAGAAGAAAGTGTGTCTTATGGAGTGAAAAATACGGTAAGTATTTATTATTACAAAAGACTGGCCAGGCTCCCCAGGGTATCCCCAGGTAATCCTGGAGTGAGCAGGGATAAGAATGACATAATGCCCCACTTTGCTTATTGGAAGTTCCACTTGCTCTGGATTCTTCCTAATGAAGAGTCCTGCTTGCAGACTTCCTGCAAGCATCTTGGTGGTCACTGCAAGAATGGGGTGCTGGACCAGAAGAGCAACTGGCCTGATCCAGCAGGACTCTCCTTATGTCATACTGTAAGGCTGTGGTTATTGGCAATGGAAGGCTGGTGCTTCTATTGAGACCAGATGACTCTTCTGAAAGCCTTAACACACTATGTTTGCTATGTACCGTAACCTACAGCTGCTGTGGACTCCACCTCCCATCAGCCCCAACATCTTACGAATTGTTCTGGGATTTGCAGTCAAAAGCAGCCAGAAGACATCAGCTTGGTGAAGGCTGAAATATGCTATCACAGAGAGAGCGAAGCATTTATTTGTTTTTTGAAAAAACACAACTTTATTTCTCAAACCAAAGTAATAAATAGGATTTTTAAAAAAAACAAACAAACAGGTTTTCAAGGGAGAACTCCACTCAAGGAAGGTTTGGCAGGGGAATGCTCCAGTAAGGCAGTGTCAGCTGTGTGTCATCGGAAGCAGAGCTTGGCTGTCCCTCCCTGCTCCTGGGTGTTCAGTTCTGCCTGGCCGCTGCCTGCAGCCATGGGTGGGAAAGTGCTGGTCTTCCGAGTGGCCCGTCTGGAGTGCGGCTCCCGTCCTCAGTCGCTGGATGCCTGCATCTGCTTGCAGAAGGCGTCAAACTGCTGCTGCTCCAGCTCAGTCATCACCCTGTTGAGGGCGTAGATCTGCAGGCCCAACAAGGACAGCTCTATGGTTTTAATACGTAAGACTCTGGGCAGTAGATTAATAGATACAAACTATTTTAAAGCACAGCCAAGCTTCCTACCGCAAATGCCCTCGCTACTTATTGAACTACCCTCCACAAGAGGCTCCTGCTTAATTCAGGGGTCCACAAACTTTCTTTAGGGGTGGGGGGAAGGAGCAGCCGGAAGCTGTTTCCCAGGGTGAGGCTGCCGTTGCGTGTTGACAGCTTCTAGAAGCCACAGGTGAGAGCTGAGTGCAGAGCGGGGACCAAAGATGCTCAAAGTACCCCAGAAGGAGCACGACATGTCCACAGAGTGGATAAAAATCAATGATTAAAAAAAAATCAGATGTTTTTGATTTAAATTGGATTTTTAAAATAAAATGCTTTTGGAGGAAAAATCTTTCTAAAGATTGTTTTCTTTTTAGGTTACATTATAGTCCAAAGGCTAATCAGGAAATAAGGATTTGTTTTAAGTTGTTTTTTTTAAAAAAGTTTAACCACATCAGTTAACAAACATGGATACATATGCTATAATGTTATTGCTTCAGTTAAATACATTGTTTAAATTGTTTTTAAGGAAGTGATTATTTTTCTCCTTCCAATAAGGTACAGCAGAAAAGTTGTCCAAATATAAGGTTACCTTATTAAACCTCACAATAATTTCATAATTATCTGTCTATGCATATCTAATAGCATAATCAAATCAGTAATTTTTGATATAACAGTAAAAACTGCTCTAATTTTTTTCTAAAAATGAAATATTCATCTGATTGTAAATACTGTATTAAGATTATACCAGCAATAAGAAGTCTTTCTGTAAAAAATAATAATTATATAAAGTCTTACTGACTAGTGATTTAAATCGATTTGATTTAAATCAAATCCACCATGCCCCTCCCCTAAAGCCCCATACAAGCCGATAATAATCATCATTAACAACAATAATAATAATAATAGTTGGTCTCTTAGTTGGTCTCTAACTAACTGAGCAATTTTATTTTTATTTAATTATTTCGACTGCGTCAGACCAACACGGCTACCTACCTGAAACAGTCATAGTGGCAGGGAGTTCCCCGGGTCAACTGCCGCCCTTCAATGATGCCGACCGGGCGGAATTTCCTCCAGTCTGCTCCCTGCCACGTCTCGCGAGAGCAGCGCTGACCCGAGAACACCGTACAGCCACACCCCTATCTTGCCTTCAAGAAGGCGCCTAACCCTCCCCTCCCCGTCAGACATGTCTCGCGAGAGCAGCGCAAGCCCGAGAAGACCGGCCGGCCCCTATTAGCATGGCCCCGCCCACCTCGGCCCGCTGCCGTTGCTTGAGCTCCTGCTGGGCCGCGCGCTGCTTGGCCTTCTCCAGGCGGCTGCTGGGACCGTCCTTGCCCTTGGGAGGCGTCCCCTGCTGCGGCAGAGGAATGGGAGGCGGCGGCAGCTTCTCGCGGCGGGCCCCGCCGGGCTCCATTTTCTTCCTCCTCCCGCGAAGGAAGATGGCGGCCGAGGTAGGGACGGCGCATGCGTCGGGGGGGGAGCGTAGTGGGGGCGTGACAAGAAGCGCACCTTCGCACGGGATTGGGGAGGTAGCCGCTCTACCCACCCACTCCTCGTCTCTATGATGCGGCGCTCATACGTGAGGACGCTACGCATGCGCGAGGACAGGTGCTGCGGTGATATCAGAGATAGGAATAGGAAGAGTTACACATTCCATGAGTTTGGAACGGGCGCTTCCGGGCTCGCTTTGGATAAAAGCATTCTTAAATATCTCACGTTTAGAGGTGAGATATCTCCATGGAGAAATCCTTGATTTTAGCCTAGTTGTGCCAAAAGAAAAAGGGATGCCGTTGCCGATATTCGGTTGGCCTTCACTAGTGGCCATGCCTTTAATGCGATAGGTCCTGCTCCGCGGAACTCCCTGCGACTAGACCTTTGGCAGGAACCGTCCCTCTTTTAAGAACTGTATTCGTGGACTCCTCTGCAGAGACTGGAGTAGCCGCTAGTTTAACAAGGCACTGCCTGAAAGAAGGGTTTACGGTAATCTCCGGGTCGTGCATTGCAGAGGGTCAGACTAGATGATCCTCCTGGTCCCTTCCAACCATACAAGTCTTTGACCTGTGATCTACTTGTGTTCCTTTTGCATTAATAGGTAATACAACTGGTAAAGGCTGCTGAGTTTCTCATTGTGAGTCTTTTTGAGCTTTTGTTGTTGTTTAGTCGTTTAGTCGTGTCCGACTCTTCGTGACCCCCTGGACCAGAGTACGCCAGGCACTCCTGTCTTCCACTGCCTCCCGCAGTTTGGTCAAACTCATGCTGGTCCCTTCGAGAACCCTGTCCAACCATCTCGTCCTCTGTCGTCCCCTTCTCCTTGTGCCCTCCATCTTCCCCAACATCAGGGTCTTTTCCAGGGAGTCTTCTCTTCTCATGAGGTGGCTAAAGTATTGGAGCCTCAGCTTCAGGATCTGTCCTTCCAGTGAGCACTCAGGGCTGATTTCCTTCAGAATGGAGAGGTTTGATCTTCTTGCAGTCCATGGGACTCTCAAGAGTCTCCTCCAACACCATAATTCCAAAGCATCAATTCTTCGGCTGATCAGCCTTCTTTATGGTCCAGCTCTCACTTCCATACATCACTACTGGGGAAACCATAGCTTGAACTATACTTTTTGAGCTTAGTTTAATAAAAAATAAAAGTACTGTAATAGTTTGGGCAATGTGCAAGTTGCAATATCAGTGTCATTCCAATCTCAAGGGGCTTCTGAGGCTGGAGGTCTCTTACCACCTCTGCCTATTCAACTCCCTATTCCATTCCAGCCCCTCTTTAGTGCCGTTTCTGGTTTTCATTTGTACCTCTTTGCCATTCATCCTCATCCAATCATGGAATGGTAGATTTGGATGAGACCTCCAAGGGCCATCTAGTCCAACCCCCTGCGACCTCCCTGTGCCAAGAAGTTTTATGGAGAACCACCATGAGGGCCCGACAACACTAAAAAAGCCATAGTGTGAAACAGACTCCTGCCTGGGGCTGGAGGGGATCTGAGGAGACACCTCCAGGACTCCCATCATTTTATTTACATTTCATAAAATTTGCTTGGCCACAAAACAAAAGAAACCTCAGGGTAGTTTAAGAAACGAGATAAAACTACCAACAAGAAAAACTGACAACAGCAATTTAAAACTATCAGAAAGTTAAAAACAGAAACAGACTTGAAACAGATTAAAACTGGCATCAACCAATAATAACAATTTTAATATTTATACCCCACCCATTTGGCTGGGTTTCCCAGTACCAGTACCCAATACATTTTTTCTAAAAAAATAAATAAATTACGGGTGCGGTATTCTCATTTTGACTCAAGAAAATCTCCATTTTATAGTTCAAATCAGGAAAAATAAACACAGTAAATGGACAAAAGTACAAAGATTCACATGTTTAGGGGTGTGCGTACTTCCAGAAAACAGCACTGCCAATACTAATCCTTTCCAGGGATTTTGCACTAAACAACCCAGATTCGCATTTTGGGTGTGTGTTTCGTTTTAATGTCAATTCAGTTGTGTTTGCATCCCTTCCTTTTTTGCGTATGTCCTTTCTTTTTCTTTTTAAACTTGCACCAACTTTCCTACCACCTGGGTAGGATTTGGCTAGATTCCGGAAAGGGTTCGTCGAAGGCGTCCGCCCGATGTCCCTCGGCAGCCAGTTCCAAAGGCTTGGAAAACCAAGTTGTCACAAACGCGGGGAGGCGGTTGTGTGACATCCCTCGGGGATGGTGTGAAAACGACGGAGACCGGAATCCGGCGCCGCCTAGCGGGCCGCGCAGCCTCCACGCAGCCTGCGATCCCGGCTCGCTTTGTCCAACACGGGAAGGCGGAGCGCCGGCTCTGCTCTTCCGATCCATCTCGCCTCTTCTTCTTCGTCCTGCTCCTCCTTTTGCAGCCCGTCGGGGGCGCAGGGAGGAGCCGGAGGTAGAGAAGCAGGAGGCGGAGGCAAGTCGAGGCCGGCCGGCGGACGCATCTCTCCCTCCTCTCGGTCCCTTTGCGCTCCTCTCCGCCGCGGCCCCCTCGCCATCTCTCCACCGGGCGCGCCGTCCGGGCGCCCAGGTTTGCGCTCCTCTCCGCCGCGGCCCCCCCTCTCCATCTCTCCACCGGGCGCGCCGTCCTCGGGAGGAGACACAAAGGGAGCCCGGAGAAAGCGCCTGGCTGCTGGGCCGGGCCGGATCGGGCCGAGGCGAACCGGGGCAAAGCGGTGGCCGCGGCTGGGTCCCGGTGGTGGCGCGCCATGGCGGGCGCGTCGGGCGCGTCGTGCAGCCTGAAGGACGAGCTGCTGTGCTCCATCTGCCTGAGCATCTACCAGGACCCGGTGAGTTTCGGCTGCGAGCACTACTTCTGCCGCCGCTGCATCACGGAGCACTGGAGCCGCCAGGAGGCGCAGGCGGCGCCGGCCCGCGACTGCCCCGAGTGCCGGCGCACCTTCGCCGAGCCGGCGCTGGCGCCCAGCCTCAAGCTGGCCAACATCGTGGAGCGCTACGCCGCCTTCCCCCTCGACGCCATCCTGCTGAGCGCGCAGCAGCGCGGCGCCTCCGCCTTCGCCTGCGCCAAGGAGCACGGCAAGGTCAAGCTCTTCTGCCTCACCGACCGCGCCGTCGTCTGCTTCTTCTGCGACGAGCCGGCCGTGCACGAGCAGCACCAGGTCACCAGCCTCGAGGACGCCTTCGAGGAGCTCCAGGTGCGCAGAGGGGAGGAGGGGCCTGCTGCGCCCGGGCAGCAGGAGGAGGCCGGGATAGGGGAGGAGGCTGTCTGCTGCAGCCCTGGAGAGAGGAGGGGGCCTGTTGTGTCTCTGTAGGAGCTGGCGGGGAAGGGCAGCTGTTCTGCCCCTGGGAAGCTGGAAGAGATGTGTCCAGTTGTGGCCTTGTAGGCAGGTGCCCGTTGTGCCTCTGGAGGAGGGGAGGGGGTCCAGTTCTGCCCCGCAGGGAACTGGAGAAGGGTGCCTGTTGTGCCCTTGGAGGTGGAGGAGGAGGCCTGTTGTTATCCCTGTATGTTCTGGAGGAGAAGGGTCCCATGGCGCTTACCATGGACTTCTCCCTTGTTCTCTTAGAATGGTTGTGGCGCTCACCGGAGAGGTGCCGGGACTAAGTTCTTGTGATCTTGGGCTGAGAAAAAAAGCCCTGGTTGTGCCCATATAGTCCAGCTATATGTTCTCGCAGTGGCCAAACAGCAGAGCCATTGTGGCTAAAAGCCACCTCTCCCCTCCTCCATGAATTTGCCCAATCCTCCTTTAATGCCATCTAGGTTGGTTGTCACGACCGCCTCCTGTGGTGGGGAGTTCCGTAGTTTAACTCTGTGCTGTGTGATTAACTGCCTCCTTCTGGGAGGGCCCCTGAGCTCTGCAGCGGGAGCAGGGTATGGGTGCGAGACCCACCTGGATGATGCTGAAACTGCGGGCACTGCATCACCTCCTTGCTGCCCATCTATTTTTCAGAGGGAACTTAAGGAGCAGCTGCAGACTCTGCAGGACAGCGAGCGCGGCCACACAGAAGCCCTGGCTCTCCTGAAACGGCAGCTGGCCGAGACAAAGGTAAAGGCTGGGGTGGTGGTTTGGCCGGCCCCAAAGTTGTACCTGGGTGATGGCAGAAGACTCCTGAGCAAAACCCATCATTGCCTACGCTGAGTTTCAGGCAGGTGACATTCCTCATCCTAGCTGGTGCCTTTGGGGTTTGAACCTGGGACCAAGGTGTCTCCCGCTGAGCTATAGCCCTCCCCTAAAAACAGATTAATATTCTAGTCCTCATTGTTCTGGACAAAGAGCTGGTTTAAATAAGAAGTTCCCTTATACCAAATCAAGCCTTTGGTCCATCTAGGCCAGTATCGCCAACACTGACCAACCAGGGTTTTAGTCTGGGGAGACAGTCCCAGCCCTGTAGGGACACATTGCCAGGAAACGAAACCCGGGACCTTCATGCTAAGGTCTGCATGCTAAGAAGATGCTCTGCCCTTGAGCTGTGGTCCTTTCCTCAAAAAATAAAAATAAAAATACAGGCTTCTAGTCCTCAACAAGGCTCTGAACAAATGGTATGAATTAAGCTCTGTGGTATCTGGAGGGCCACAGATTTCCCCACTCTTGATTTTAAGTAAACGGGGTTTAAATAAATGCCAGTTTGTCTCCCCACCCCTGAAAAATTTGACTTGTGTTCTAAGACTGCAAACCAATACTGGAGATTTTCCACCTGTTTTGCTCCTGCCTTCTGCTAAAAGGAGCCCTTTAAAAAACTTCCCATGCTAGTTTAAAGCCTTCTAGTTGTTGATATCAGCTGCGGAAAAGATTTTGAAGCCTCAGGTGTCTGCCTTCTCACCAAATGAATAGCCCCCTTGTTTTCTGGGGATTGAAGGGAGCTGGGAACATTGCTCAGATCCGATCGCTCCCCCCAGAGTGCAAATACTGCAGCGCTTTCAGATAAGAGGTTTGTGGTGGTGACGCTGCTCATGTTTCGACATCCAATGCCCCTTTGCTGACAATCGCTAGGGTGCTAAGCATGCAGAAGCATACAAGGGAGGTTTCTTACAGTGAGACCGACCATTGGAGTCCACCAGGATCGTAATTGCCTTGCCGGAAAGGCTGTAGCTCATTGGCCGAGCATCTGTGCAAGGCTCCTGGTTCAGTCCCCAAAGACATCTTTGAGAGACCACTGCCTGGAAAACTGGAGAGCCTCTGCCAGTCAGAGTAGGCAGCACTGAGCTAGTTGGGGCCAATGGTACGGATGCGTCACCTGCCTGTGTCTGCAGCAAGGGGTTGGGAACCTGCAGCTCTCCTGACGTTACAGAATCATAGAATTGTGGAGCTGGAAGGGATCCCCAAGGGTCAAATGCAGGAATCACGGCCAAGGAATCCCTGGCAGGTGGCTATGTTGCTGGACTCCAGCTCCCAAGAGCCTCTGCCACTGTGGCCAGTGTTCAGGGATGCTGGGAGTGGTAGTTCCGGAATATCTGGAGGACCACCTGATCCTCATCCCTGATTGACCGTGACTTTCTGTCCAGGGGTTTGCAATGGAGAGGATGTCCCAGTACAGTGGTACCTCGGGTTACATACGCTTCAGGTTACAGGCGCTTCAGGTTACAGACTCTGCTTACCCAGAAATAGTACCTCGGGTTAAGAACTTTGCTTCAGGATGAGAACAGAAATCGTGCTCCAGCAGTGCAGCGGCAGCGGGAGGCCCCATTAGCTAAAGTGGTGCTTCAGGTTAAGAACAGTTTCAGGTTAAGAACGGACCTCCGGAACAAATTAAGTACTTAACCCGAGGTACCACTGTATTAAGGGACACGGGAGGTGCTGTGGGTTAAACCACAGAGCCTAGGGCTTGCTGATCAGAAGGTCGGCGATTCGAATCCCTGCAACAGGGTGAGCTCCCGTTGCTCAGTCCCTGCTCCTGCCAACTTAGCAGTTCAAAAGCACGTCAAAGTGCAAGTAGATAAATAGGTACCGCTCCGGCGGGAAGGTAAACAGTGTTTCCGTGCGCTGCTCTGTTTCGCCAGAAGCGGCATAGTCATGTTGGCCACATGACCCGGAAGCTGTACGCCAGCTCCTTCGGCCAATAAAGCGAGATGAGCGCCGCAACCCCAGAGTCGGTCACGACTGGACCTAAACGTCAGGGTCCCTTTACCTTTACCTTTTACCACTGTATTACCTGAAGGTGCTGCTGAGGTTTGAAGCTGGTGCCTTCTGCAAATGGAGCTGGGCATCTACCGCTGACCTGCAGCCCTTCTTTTAAGGCAGGGATGGGGAAACCTGTGTCTCTCCAGATGTTCCTGGATTCGAACTCCCAACAGCCATCATGGGCAGTGGTCAGGGATGAAGGGAGTTGAAGGAGGCCGTCCACATCTGGAGGGCCCAGGGTTCTCCATCCCCTCATTAAAAGCCTCATTATAACAATACCAATTTATAATACAATTACTAAAATCAATCATTTAAATACCAAATTATATAGTTTAGATAAAGTTCCCCCCACATGCTAGAATTGATGATTTTCTTTATTTCTGCATTCCAAAATCTTACTGATTTCAGTTACATTCCAGTCATAATAATACAACAGCTGCAATATTTATAATTTCTATTTGTGTTGACACATTAAATGATTTATGAAACTACAAGTGAGGATCTCAAAACTATATCCTTGTTCTTCCTGTGTGTGACATTTATTCCATCCATATTGTTTTTTCCTGTCCTTGTAAAATGGGATATATATATATTTCCCCAGTTGTTTCTGTGATCTGTCATGCCTTGGGCTGAGCTGATATCCCATTGTTGTTCTCCCTCACTCAGTCCCCTGCTTGGTTATTTTGCAACTTTAAAGTCACACCTCTCATCAAAATGGGAGGTCTCTTTCCCCACCCCGTCCCCCACCCACACGGCTTTAAACAAGTCGCAAGATCCGCAAGATCCCCGTCTTCGCACAACAATCCTGCAGGGCGGTATCGAGGCGATCACGGGTCTTCATCCGGGGGAAGCCAAGTTCTGCCCATGACTTGCTTGCATCTCATTCTCTCTACGCAGTCCTCTGCCAAGAGCCTGCGGGCCACGATCGGGGAGGCGTTTGAACGGCTGCACCGCCTGCTCCGCGAGCGCCAGAAGGCCATGTTGGAGGAGCTGGAGGCGGACACGGCCCGGACTCTGACGGACATCGAGCAGAAGATCCAGCGCTACAGCCAGCAGCTCCGCAAAGTCCAGGAGGGCAGCCAGATCCTCCAGGAGCGGCTGGCCGAGGCGGACAAGCACTCCTTCCTGGCCGGCATTGCGTCCTTGTCCGAGAGGTAGGCCGAGTTGCGCGGGCGGCTGACACCAGGGATAGAGCAGCCTTCCCCAGCTGCCTTAGACTAAACATCACTCGTAGGAACATAGGGAGGGGGCTGTTGGACCAGGCCAGCTTCCTGTTCTCACAGGGGGCAAACAGTTTAACCCCTGTGTTGCAGTAGTCAGTAATATCCAAGGCAACACAATGACCAAATACAATGATACAATATCAATATACACTCTTTATAGAATATGAAATATATGAAATCACATAAACAGAAAACTTACGAATCTCTGAAAGTCACCAAATATGCACTCTTAATGGATTCTCTTGAAAACATGAAACCAAATAAAGATAAGTCTTATAAGTCTCTGAAAGTCTTTGAAGACAATGCAAGAAGAAGCAATGTATCAGATTCTTATCTGGTGAAAACAGGCTGTAAAGCTTTGTTTTTGGCATCCAACGCTGCCGAAGTAGTTTGCAAACAGACGTTGTGAACAGTGATTCCGGATATTACCACTGTTTCGTGGAATTATTCTTCATAACTTTATGACCACTGCTTCATAGCAATTGTTGTTATACCGTATTTTTTGTTCTATAAGACTCACTTTTTCCCTCCTAAAAAGTAAGGGGAAATGTGTGTGCGTCTTATGGGGCGAATGCAGGCTGCGCAGCTATCCCAGAAGCCAGAACAGCGAGAGGGATCGCTGCTTTCACTGCACAGCGATCCCTCTTGCTGTTCTGGCTTCTGAGATTCAGAATATTTTTTTTCTTGTTTTCCTCCTCCAAAAACTAGGTGCGTCTTGTGGTCTGGTGCGTCTTATAGAGCAAAAAATACGGTGCTTTTCCATTCACCATATAGATGGGTTTATGAATCATTTTTGTATACTTCTGCTCTTGTTTTCCTCCTCTAAAAACTAGGTGCGTCTTATGGTCGGGTGCGTCTTATGGAGCGAAAATATGGTGTTTCATATCATATAAAGAGTGTCTATTGATATCGTATCATTGTATTTGGTCATTGTGTTGCCTTGGATATTACTGACTCACAGGGGCCAGCCAGATGCTCCAGTGAGCCGGACCTCAGTAAAAGAGCAATTCTCTCCTCCTGTGTTCCTTCATTCTTTCAGCTTGATGTTTATTCACAGCTATACAAAAATACAAACCCATTGCAAAGCATCTTTTTTTATAAAATACGAAGACAAAACAGCTACTTTTTATGCTATATTAAGATAAACAGTCTAAAAAAGGACAAAAATCAGAAAGAAAAGGCAAGTAAAAGAGAGAGGGAGAAGGGAAAGAAAGGAAAAACTAAAGGTGTGTTTTCCAGCACCTGGCATTCAGAAGCATCACTGCCTCTGGCCATGGAGGCATGGAGACACAGCCACTGTGTCTAGCAAACATCAAGTAGACCCATTGAAAGTGTGTGCAGCCCACGTGCTCCTTGCTCACCCTGGTTCTCTTCCTCCTCACAAGGCTCAAGGGCAAGATCCACGAAACGAACCTCACGTACGAGGACTTCCCCACCTCCAAGTATATGGGCCCCTTGCAGTACACGATCTGGAAATCTCTTTTTCAGGACATCCACCCAGGTGAGCGAATTGTGTTTGCTTCATTTCTGAATTGCTTCCTGTAAAAATATCCCGATTTTAACAGTGAACGGCCGCAACAAAATCAGCTTTATGTGACAGTTGCAAGTTTGAGGTAGATGTAGACTGGGATAAAAGACCTCCACTTCAAAGATGATGTTGGGAAAGGAAGGTTCTTAGTGTTGGTGCAAGGGAAAAAAAATAGGTGTAAAAGTAGAATGCCATAATCCACGTTTGGTGAGAGAACCCAAGAAGAGATTTAAAATCACAAAGGACGCAGCAAAGTAAAGCATGGAAATATAGGTTGTTAGACCGTTGAAATATGCCCTTGTGAGTTTCAGAACTCCCCTCGCATCTAAAAAGACCACATGTTTGGGAAATTAAATATGGTATACTTACAAACTATCCAAAGGTCACATTCATGTGCTATTCCATACAGCATTCAGAAAAAAGTTGCAGAGGCAGTAAGACTTGGCTTAGTTACAGTGGTGAAAGTTTAAAATACCGGTGGGTGCCACTACCAAGAAGGCCCTCTGCCTGGTTCCCTGTAACTTGGCTTCTCGCAGTGAGGGAGCCTCCAGAAGGCCCTCGGCGCTGAACCTCAGTGTCCGGGTAGAATGATGGGGGTGGAGAAGCTCCTTCAGGTATACTGGGCCGAGGCTGTTTAGGGCTTTAAAGGTCAGCACCAACACTTTGAATTGTGCTTGGAAATGTACTGAGAGCCAATTTAGGTCTTTCAAGACCGGTGTTATGTGGTCTCGGTGGCTGCCCACAGTCACCAGTCTAGCTGCCTCATTCTGTATTAGTTGTAGTTTCCGGGTCCCCTTCAAAGGTAGCCCCACATAGAGCGCATTGCAGTAGTCCAAGCAAGAGATAACCAGAGCATGCACCACTCGGGCGAGACAGTCTGTGGGCAGGTAGGGTCTCAGCCTGCGTACCAGATGGAGCTGGTAGACAGCTGCCTGGACACAGAATTGACCTGCACCTCCATGGACAGCTGAGAGTCCAAAATGACTCCCAGGCTGCGCACCTGGTCCTTCAGGGACACAGCTACCCCATTCAGGACCAGGGACTCCTCCACACCTGCCTGCCTCCTGTCTCCCAAAAACAGTACTTCTGACTTGTCAGGATTCATCCTCAATCTGTTAGTCACCATTCATCCTCCAACCCCCTCCAGACACTCACACAGGACCTTCACCGCCTTCACTGGTTCTGATTTGAAAGAGAGGTAGAGCTGGGTATCATCCGCATACTGATGGACACCCAGCCCAAACCCCCTGATGATCTCTCCCAGCGGCTGCATGTAGATGTTGAAAAGCATGGGGGAGAAGACAGAACCCTGAGGCACCCCATAAGTGAGAGCCCAGGGGTCTGAACACTCATCCCCACCACACCACTTTCTGAACACGGCCCAGGGGAGTTCCCGCCCTCCCATAACCAAGCGGTGTAGAAATATTACAAAATGAATAAATAGCAACATATTTCTCCCCACAGTGCCTGCCACCCTCACGCTGGACCCCTCCACAGCCCACCAGCGCCTCATCCTCTCCGACGACTGCACCATCGTGGCCTACGGCAACCTGCACCCGCAGCCGCTGCAGGACTCCCCCAAGCGCTTTGACGTGGAGGTCTCAGTGCTGGGCTCGGAGGCCTTTGGCGGCGGGGTGCACTACTGGGAGGTGGTGGTCTCAGAGAAGACGCAGTGGATGATCGGCCTGGCGCACGAGGCCGTCACGCGCAAGGGCAGCATCCAGATCCAGCCCAGCCGCGGCTTCTACTGCATCGTCATGCACGACGGCAACCAGTACAGCGCTTGCACGGAGCCCTGGACCCGGCTGAACGTCAAGAGCAAGCTGGAGAAGGTGGGCGTCTTCTTGGACTACGACCGCGGCCTCCTGATCTTTTACAACGCGGATGACATGTCCTGGCTGTACACCTTCCGGGAGCGCTTCCCGGGCAAGCTCTGCTCCTACTTCAGCCCGGGGCAGAGCCACGCCAACGGGAAGAACGTGCAGCCGCTGCGGATCAACACTGTCCGCATTTAAGGGCTGCCGACAAGGGGGGGGGCCGTCAGCGGCACAGCACTGACTGTTGTGAGCCGTGATGCCTGACTCCTGGGGGTCCCTCCCAACTCTACCATTCTGTGGTTCTGTTCTTGACTAGCAGAACACAGAGGTGAACACGCAGGGTTCCTTGCTTGAGCTTCCGGAAGAGCGGGGCTTTTCAATTAGGGACAGAAAACTGGTGTGAGGTCCACCAGGGGAGGGGAGTCGGGATTCTTGCTTGCGGCGTTTCTGGGTGCTGCCCCTCGACGCAGCTTGGTGGGCGGCCGGCGATGGTGCAGTGAGGTGGGCCAGCTGAGGAACGAGGCGCTTTTGTGAGGGAACAGAGCTCTGAACTTTTCTTTCCCGGCAAAGTCCGCGTGGCGCAGATTCCAGGCCCACAGGCAGGTGCATGTACCAAAACGAAACCTCGCGGCCCCCACCGCTGGCTGGTTTAAGTGGGAACGGGTTTATGTCTGTATGGATTTGTATTAGTTGGTCTGATTTCCTGTTTGGGGAGGCTGGGAGGAAAATGGCGGCTGGGGAGCACCGGGGAGGGGGAGGAAAGAAGGAAACGGTGAAATAAATGGAACGTTTGGACCCCAAACCTTGCTGGATGTTTTGTGGGGTGTGCGGATTGGTGTTGTTGTTGTTTGCAATGTCAGGCTAGGACTAGGGGGACCTGGGTTCAAATCTGTGGTCTGTTCTCTTCCCCAGCCATGGGACAATCATAATCTCTCAGCGCAACCTACCTCGGAGGGTTGTTGTGAGATTATGGGAGAGTCTTGGGATGGAACATGACTGCCGCCATGAGATCCTTGAAGCTGCCTTGGAGCGAGTCGAAACCACTGGTTCCCCACCCCTGCATTAAAGGAAAGCGTTGAGCTCAGGGCAGGGCAGGCAAGTGATGGTCCAGTTCAGGGACGATGGTCTTCCAGAGACTCCAAACGATCAGAGATTATGGGAGTTGTCCCATGCTAACATTTGCACGGTTGAAGATTCCTTGTCCCTGTGTTTAAAGAAGCCATAGTTGCATTGGAGGCAGCTAAGGACAGTGAAGGCAAGTGATGGTCCAGTTCAGGGATGAAGAGCTGGTAGTTCTCAATAAATTGCTAGACTCCAACTCCCAACAGCACCAGCCAGCCTGGCCTATATTCAGGGATGATGACTAGCATGATGGCAGCTAGGGGCAGCGAAGGCTAGTGACGGTCCAGTTCAAGTATGGAGAGCTTGTGGTTCTCAATAAATTGCTAGACTCCGGCTCCCAGCATCTGGGAGGCATGAGGCCCTTTTGCTGGATTGTTGCTGCTCAGTGGTGGAGTAAGGTAAAGGTAAAGGGACCCCTGACCATTAGATCCAGTCGTGGCTGACTCTGGGGTTGCGGCGCTCATCTCGCTTTATTGGCCAAGGGAGCCGGCGTACAGCATGTGACCAGCATGACTAAGCCGCTTCTGGCAAACCAGAGCAGCGCACGGAAACGCCGTTTACCTTCCCGCCGGAGCGGTCCCTGTTTATCTACTTGCACTTTGACATGCTTTCAAACTGCTAGGTTGGGAGCTGGACAGAGCAACGGGAGCTCACCCCGTCACGGGGATTCGAACCGCCAACCTTCTGATCGGCAAATCCTAGGCTCTGTGGTAATTAACAAGCAAACACAGCTGTGGGAGGAATGATTCTGGCAATGCTGAGCAGCTGCAAGCAGGAGGCGGCTGGTGCAAGTTTTCTGTTTGCAGTGGAAATGCTTGCCTCTCAGTTTGCTAAAGGTGCATCCGGGGGGGGGCACGACCGAGACGTAGAGCTTGTGGGGTGTCGCAAGTATGACATCCAATGGAAGGCGAGAGGCGGGGAGACAGGGAAGGCTGGGTTTTGGCTTCACATAGGACGCCCCTGAAATTTGAGGTGACAAACTGTGTTAGCCAAACCGTCCAGAAGAGGGTAGCATGGCCTGAATTTGTGCCACAAGTGAACAGTTTAATCACAGTGAGTTGGGGGAGCTGCATTATTTCCCTTTCAGCAAGGAATGTAAAATCTCTCCCCACGTTGATTGCTTGGCTAGGCATGTCCAAATAGCAGTGATGTTTCAGCCTGTAGGCAGCAGAATGATGGCTTTGGTGTCTTTCTCTAGGTCAGGGCTCACCAGTTTGGCGCCTTCTGAAGGTTACTGAGCTGAAGCGACCCTCATCGTCCCTCACCACTGGGCATGCCGGCTGGCAGGGATCTTGGGAGTTGGCATCTGCCAACGTCTGGAGGGCCACAGGTTCCGCTGTTGCAGGCTGACCATCGCTTGCCTTTCCTGCCCCTGGGTCTCTATCACAACTCTGCCTCCTTTACACACAGGGATGTAGCAGCCGCAGCCCCCCAGGTGTTGCCTGATTCCTTCTCCCGCCAACACTCACCTTTGCCGTCACTTGCCTTTACTGCCCCTAATTCCCCCCATCACTACTTTGCCTTCTTTTCATGCACCGATGCCAGCTCCCTTCATGCATGACCACCAGCCAAACAATGACGGTTGGAGGTCAGTAGCCTGACTCTCCCTGCTCAAGTTGTTGCAGTGAATGTAGACATCATCATCTTCAATGGATGCAAAACAGGAAAAGGGGGGAAAGCTCTGTAGTTGAGCTGTGCAAAATTCAGCAGGGCTACCTTATCTTGCAAAGGAGCTGAGTGGGTCATGTCAGGTGCTTGGTGGGGAAGGCAGAGGGTGGGGTTTTTGGTTTGTTTTCTGTTTGTGTTCTGTAATTGCCAGAAGCAATGGCAACTGATTTCAGCTCTCAGGTTTTCCAGGCAGGTTCCATTCCCAGCCCTGCCTGGAGATGTCAAGAACTGAACATCTTTTCCCTTAAAAACAAAGCATGCTTCTAGTCCTTATCGCTGCAAATTGAGGGGTGACTTAAATAGGAACGGAGGAAAGTGCCTTATGCCAAGTCAGGCTCTTAGAGCAGGGTTTCCCAAACTTGTCTCTCCAGCTGTTTGTGGACTACAGCTCCCATCATCCCTAGCTAGCAGGACCAGTGGTCAGGGATGATGGGAATTGTAGTCCAAAAACAGCTGGAGACCCAAGTTTGGGAAACCTTGGCTTACTCTGACTGGTATCAGCTGTCCCAGGTTTCAGGCACGTTCCTAGCTCTACCTGGCAACGCCGGCGAAAAAACCAGGGACCTGCCTGTAATGTGAGCACCCGGCTGGTGAGTTGCAAGTTTCTAGTCCTCACCACTGTGAGTAAAAGACTGACCTCCAAAGCTGGCAAGCTCCCGTGCTCTGCACCGACAGGAGAGCTGTGGTGTCAGGCAGGACTGGGGGAAAGGGGGTACTGTTTTAAGTAAAGGGGAAAGGGGATTCCAGGGCTAGTTGGAATCTGCGGCCCCATTCCTCATCACCCTTGTGGATCAACTGTCTCAGGGATCCAGCTCTGGCCCTCCTTGCTTTAGCTGGGGCCGGGAACGGGGGTCCTCCTCAGCCAACATTTTTCATGTATTAGATGGCATCATTAGATCCCTTCGTTTGGGAGGCATGCGACATGTCAATAATTCCGGGATTAGCATCTATGTGGGGCGGGGGCAACGATGTGCCGGCCAGCCAGAGGTCCTGACGCAGGGCCACCTCTCCTTTCGCTGGGCTCAGCTGCTGCAGCTCCAGCTGCTGGTGGGTAACCCTACCCTCGCCCACAACAAAGGGGGAGAGGCGATCGCGACTCCAGGGAGTTATGCGCTCCATCTCAGGCCGCCATCTCAGCTTCCCAGAGTTGGCATGTGCCCAAGCAGAGGCGGCCATGTCATTGCAATTCTCTCTCCTAGCCGGTATTGGAGAGGAGGGTCCTGCACCATGTGAGATGCTTAACCCCACTGGAAAGACACGGGACTAATTTTAATTCCATTGCTCAGCTCCGGCTGACATTACTGTCAGCGGTGGCGCTGTCCGAATGCCTGGGAAGTTTTGTGGGGGTTTTTAATTTAGTTTTTTAACGGCAGCTGGGGGCCTTCTCAGATCACCCCTGCAGCCCTCTTAATCCGATCTCCCTCATTTCATTTGATACCCCTGTCAGGGGCAGGGGGCTCTTGATTTTGGCCTCTTCTTTCTCTCTGTATATGTCATATTTGGATATTAATGTGGCACATGCAAAGAATACCTTTCCTCGGAGGAGGAGGCCTGTTACCTCATTCTTTCGGGGAACCTGTTCTTTCTCCTCCTACAGAAAGGTTTAAGTTTCTAGTCCTCAAGTTTCTGGGAGGAAGACCAATTTCTTCCAATGCTTGCAAACCTTTTTACTCTTCCACACCGATTGGCGAGCTGTGCAATTGCACCAGTGTGTGTGGCCGGCACAGATAAAAACCTCAGATTCATAGGGTCAAAAGCACAGGCCTCTCTGGCAACAGCCTTGCTGATTTCAAGGTCCTGGGCCCAGAGGGTTGCCTCTCCCCATGGATCTTCTTGCGTTGGACTTGGCTGCTGCTTTTGGGTCTCCCTTTGGGGCCACTGTGAGAACAGGATGCTCTTGGCTCGATCCAGCAGGCGCTGCTTAGGTTCTTGTGGAAATCTGCACCCTACGACTAAGTCTCCACGAATAACCTCTGTGCTTTTGAGGGGCTTTAAATGTGTGTAGAGAACATCAGGAGGACACCACTGACCTGGTGGCTGAGGAAGGTTGCTTTGAACACCTTGAATGTAAGGGATATGGAACCCAAAGAATCCTGGCAACCCAAAGGAATGCACAAATACAACCATTTTTAAAAAGACCAACAAGAGCGTTTCCCCCATTTTATTATTATTATTATTATTGTTACCAACTCAGAAGCGTCTTTCCATTTGTTATGATACTATTTTTGGTATAATGCCCCAAACCAGTTATATAGGCTTGTATCCGATCCTACCCAAGAGTAGACCCATGGAAGTTAATACACTAAGGGGCCTACAAGCCAGGGAGGACTTCTCTAGATACGAGCTCCTGTCTCCAGCTGCCACGACTTCCAAAAAGCTATAGCATATACACACACAAAACACACAGAATATGGAATGGGCTTCGGGTCTTCTGTTTTTCTTCTTTTGCATGCACAGAGAAAGGAAGCTGGCATTCTGCTGAAGGAGGCAAAAAGAAGGGAGGGGAAAAGAAGCACACAGCACCCGCAAAGTCGTCAGTGAAAAAGAAAGCCCCCACCAATCTAGTTAACACACACCCCAAAGGAGCCCCACCAGTCCTCGAGCAACGGAAAACAACAGGGGGGAAAAAGCTGCGTCTGCCGGAGGATTCAGGCAAACAGTTTTCTCCCACTCACCCGACAAAACATCTATTGATTTGTGCAGCTCCTCCAACCAACAGAGGTCTCCTGAGTCCATCGTTCGCCTGGGATGGCACCAACCCGATTCGAAACTCGGGATTGGTGGACTCGGGTCAAAAAGGCACGTGGGGTGCAAAACTGCTTGTCCGAATCCTCTCCCCACCCCCACCCCCAGGTCAGTTTTCAGGAAATCTCCCCTTATTACTATGGAGTCACGTTCCACCATTTGAAGGCAGAAGGCTTGCGGTGAACGTTGGTGCCGCAATGGACCTCCCCCAGCTGCTTGTGGTAGGACGAAACGTCGTCGATGAAGGTGCAGGTCAGGCCCAGTGGC